CTCCAGGCTCTGAGCTAGCTGTCAGCACAGAGCCCGACGTGGGGCTTGAACCCACAAACCGCGAGATCATGACCTGAGCCGAAGTCGGACACTTAACCAACTGAGCCACCCAGGTGCCCCCATTTTGTTTTTCTTCAAGATAGTTTTGGCTACTCTTGGCCTTTCCATTTCCATTTTATTTTTTTGGGAAAGTTCATCAGTTTCTTTAGGAAAACTTGTTAGGATTTTGATTTTGGTTGCATTGCAACTCGTTCAGTTTGAAGAGAAGAATTATTTTGAGTTGACTCTTGAACAATGTAGGGGTCAGGGACACTGATCCCCATCCAGTTGAAAAATCCATGTTTAACTTTTGATTTCCCCCAAATTTACTACTAATGTCTACTGTTGACTGCAAGGTTTACTAATAATATGAACAGTTGATTAACACATATTTCGCATGCTATATGTACTGTATACTATATTGCAATAAAATAAGCTAGAGAAAGGAAAATGTCAAGAAAATTATAAGAAAATGAAAATATATAGTATTATATGTATATTTATTGAAAAAAATTAATGTATAAATGAACCCAGGCAGTTCAAATTTATGTTGTTTGATGACCAACTGTATATTATATATCATGATGAAATATTTATGTATAACATATAAATATGTAAGTATTATATAAGCATAACATAATAGTATTTATGTACTTATACGTAAATATATGTTATATACCTAAGTATATGTATCTCAGTGTAATATACTTATATGTATTATACAAATATAATAATGTAATAAAACTATGCCTTGCTTCTTTATGCTTTTATATTTACTTATTCTGTCTAGGCTTCTCTCCTTGCAGTTCTTAATTATTTTTCTCTTCAGACCCATTTGACGTATCATCACTTCTTTCCTTAACACTCTTTCTGCCCACTCCCCTTATTTGCCAGGTGTTTATGAAATACCTCCTTTTTTTTTTTTTTTTTTTAAAGCCAGCTTCATGTCCAGCACAGAACCCAATGTGGGACTTGAACTCATGACCCTGAGATCAAGACCTAAGCTGAAGTCAGGAGTCGGACACTTAACTGACTGAGCCACACAGGTGTCCTGATATACTTCTTAGGCATCCTGAATGGGGCTTGGTACTGGAATCTTACCTCTTGCTCCTCTTTTGCTCCAGGATTGTGGCCATTAGTATTTGCTAAAAAGTGGACAATCAGATGACGAACTAAGTATCAGCTTTATCTAAAACTTTCTGTAATGAGTCTAAACTGGACACTCTTATGGAACTCCTACCTCCATCTCAAATTGAAGGCAGCATGCATGAAATGAAGAAGGTGAACCTGCTTCATTCTTAGCAGAATGTGCCTAGTTGAGAATATGCATAGAAACTGGCAGCTTAAAGCCCCCTGAAGGGAGATATAGGAAAGTGAGACAAACTGTAGGTGTTTAGATGTGACTATGTAGAAGTCTCCAAATTGCTTTGATTGCACAATCTTATCAGTAAAAAACATATGAACATCTGTCACCAATGTTTGTATATTTATACATTACATAAATGTGCTATAATTTACTATGTAAAATCTATAATTATAAAAAATTAAAAATGATAACTAATATTTCTAAAAATGATTTCCATTTTATTTATTAGTGGTACAGAATTCAATAAGCATTACTATTTTTGAAAAGCATGATTCAGTATTTGTGATGTAGTGATTTGAAGGTCTAGTTCTAAGGCAAATTGATTTCACTATATCATTTTTAATGCTATTTTATTTGTAAAAGAAACTTTCAAAGATTTGAAATTTCAGGTGAAAGAGGTACATCTTGGTTGTGCTTATTAGTAAACCACATTACTCATTTTTCTTTTCTTTTTTAAAAAAATATTTATTTAAGTAATCTCCATACCCAGTGTGGGGCTTGAACTCACAGTCCCAAGATCAAGAGCTACATGCTCTTCTGACTGAGCCAGCCAGGCACCCCCACATTCTCATTTTTCATTTCTATTCTGTTATGCAAAGTTTTAATCCAGATTTTATCAGTATAATGCTATCTTTTCTGAGTAATTCGTTCTGGCAAACTACTTGGAAGGCATTACATATTTTTTAATATTTAAAAGAGAAAAATGGTCTAATCTGCTGAAACCCTTCCTTTGTGAGATTTTTAAACAAATAAGGAAATCATTTCCAAGTTTTTCAAGTGTGATACCATGAGCTTGTAGGGTGATCATAGCACATTTGCACACACATAAAATAACATTAGATGAAAATATTTCCAGTTTTCAAAATGTTCTTCACATGAGTTCATTTCAAAAAGATAGTTATTTTCACACTCTTTAAAATGTAACTATCTTACCCTGAAAAGACAGATTAAGAAATACGTATTTTAAAACATTTGCTAGTTTACATACTGCTGATAGTTCTTTCTCATTACAGAAAAGTTTATTTGAAACATTTGTCGTTTTGTAAAACCAAAGTACATGGTATGTCTCTGTGTTTGCCAGCTTTAAAAAATATTTTGCCATGAAATTTTTTATGATCAGCCCTTATCTATTTGTAAAGCACACTGAATATGTTACTTAAGGTAGTGTGCATTGGTCAATACACTTAACTAGCAAATGAAATATTTAGAACTCATGAAGGCAGTGATATGCACTTCTCTGAGCATAAAACTAACATTTTGCCTCAGAATATTTGTCTACTGCTTATAGTAAGTTATATGTGGTTACTTTTCTTATTTGTTAAAGAAAATTGTTAAATTCTAATATTTTCTTCCACTACTCTAGAGGATAATTCTGGACCCTGCTGTGAATGTCCTTGGTTCATGAGAACAGAACCACAGAGGGTAAAAAAGAGTCGTTGCTCCTGTGCTCGGGCAGGGAAAAAAAGGATCTGAAAAATATTTTATAGAGTTAATAATTCCAGGTATTTGTAGTTTGCACAATGAATGGGAAGGTCTGACCAATCAAATTAAGTTACTCTTTTTGCCATATAGGAGATCTGGATTTGATAAAAAGGAAAGATAAAATTCTGTTTTTTTCCAGCAATTGTTTTTCTTAGAAGCAATAATTGTTTTCTTCACTTATGTGTCTTTAACTCCAGGATGAACTTATTAAGGGCAAGACCATTTCAAGGGAGAATCAGCACAGTGCCAGGCATACAGTTGTGCCAGCACATTAGTAAATGTTAATTAATGTAAGGACATTAATTAAGGTTTCCATTAGGGCTAGGAAGTAGGAATATATGGGAAAAAGGTAAGTGTAGGCTGGTGGGTTTTCAAAGAAAACTGGAATGGAGGAGAGCAGTCAAAAAAGTCATTGGGGAGGAAGTACAGGACAATGTGAGTGAATGTATAGAAGTGCCGCAAGGGACTTTTATTCAAGGAGAGATGAAAGGCATAGTGGAATGAACTGAAATAAAAGTTCTCTGCAGGTTCAGGAGAAATTCTAGGTGGTATAAGTAGGCCTTATGAGACTAGTCTTCAGAACTTCTGTTCAAAATTATGATGGAATTTTGGCAAAGAATTGTTTTGCTTGTGTTGCTGTCACCAAAGACAACTCTGCTCAGATGAGGAAGGAGACAGAGAGGGTGGTGATCTTAGAGGCAAGGCAGTATTTTTGTCACGTAGTTAAGGATAAATTGAGAATCAGTATTCTAAAGAGTTCCCCCCACTTATTTTGTATTTATTAAAATGCACATTCAAAATAGACTTTCATAATAAGAGGGTCCATGGAAAGCATGAGGGTCCACATTAAATACATGTATAATGTACCACAGTTTGATAGTTTTGTGACAACATAGTAGTTGTCACTCAGTTATCTTAAATTACAAATTATACAGATACATAAAAATCATATATATAAAGCCCATTAAGCCAGTCAGATTCAGCAACAGTAAAATGATCTAGGACATATACAAGTTTTTTCGGTACAACTAAAGTGTGTGTTACATACAAAAATTTCAACATAACTAAGGATTTATTATATGTGTCAAAAATGGAACAATTCTTTTTTTTTTTTTAATGTTTTATTTCTGAGAGAGAGAGACAGCATGAGCAAGGGGGGGTCAGAGAGAGAGGCAGATACAGAATCTGAAGCAGGCTCCAGGCTCTGAGCTGGCTGTCAGCACAGAGCCCGACACAGGGCTGGAACCCACGAACCACAAGATCATGAGCTGAGCTGGAGTCGGACGCTCAACTGACTGAGCAAGCCAGGTGCCCCAGAACAATTCTTAAAAAGACACATAACAACAGATTCCTGGGAAGTTAATGTCTATAATTAAGGCCATATTGGTTTGAATTAGCAAAGATTGGGGATAAAAACAATTCTCCTTTTCAGGTTAAGTTTTTAATAGGTTTTGCCCTAGTCCCTTGGCCTTTCCCCTCCATTCACTTTCATTCTCTTTCTCTTTACTTTTAAAATCTGTAGTAAAATGTCTTGAAATTTATAAAGGCTAACCATCATGTATAGTGATGAGAGCCCTTTAGAACAAAGTTAAATTCCAACCCACAAATATTAGTTAGTGAAGTTACTCTGGAGGAAATCACACAATTAAAAACCAAAAGCCATTTGTGTATTGCTCCAGTCCCATGTACCTACTTTTCCAAAGGATTAAATTCCAATTCCTTCAGTGGCTGATGAACTGGGTGAATATTGGGGAACTTATTTGCCCACGTGTGGGGTGTGGCCCCAAATCCATGTCAGATTAAGAATAAGATGTGGTAATGATGGTCATTTTTAGTTAGCAAGGAGAACTCATTATTCATGGTACCATACACTTCTTTCCTCTCTCATGATTCCCTTAATGATCTTATATTTAATTGTTTACCTTTCATATCTCTGTTAACCTATTGATAAACTGATTGAGGGTAGGGATGAGTTTTCTAGTTATATTAATATTTTACTGCCTAGGCTAATACCTGATATTTACTAGATGCTCATAAAATGTTTGTTGAAGTAAACTTTTGTCTAGCTCTTCTTTGCCTTCTAAAGTCTTATATTAATTTATTTACATTGTAGATGCTGAGAAGAACTCTTAGAGGGTCTGAAAGTAAAGAACTGGAAATAGCACCTCCAGTGCCAACTTTGGTACCATTTGGGGATGTGGTATGTGTGACTAATCCTTAGTAAACCTGTACAAATTTTTTCTTACTTTGTGTGAGGACGAGTTAATATCTATTATTTGATTATCAAAAAGTATATGTAGAAAGTATTTCTGATAACATAATTGTGATTTTTTTCATTTTTTTCATGGAGTCAGAAAAGCATTCTAATAATCACTGAAATTAGGAAAAACATCTTGATTCACAGAAAAAAAATGTTTTCTATATAGGAATTCCCAAACTCTAGGTACATCAGAATCACCTGGGATACTTATTCAAAACATTGATTCTTGGCCCCCACTTAAAATCTGATAACGTGGAATCCGAGAATGGGGGCTAAGAATCAGTATTTTTATTGTGCTTGTCAAGTGATTATATTGTCATATTTAGGAAGCTTTGAGCTACAATTTGAAAATTGACCCCACACCTCTCCCTCATCCCCAAAATAGTAAGTCCCAAGAGCAAAAGGCAAACACACTCATGAATTATACACAAACACAAATATACACACAAACACACAGATAATATCTATGCTGAGAAGTAGAAAAATCTGTTTTTTTTCTTTTGGGTGCTATAGAATATAGGGCATGAGGATCTGTGTACATTTTAGAACTAGCAAATGTGGAATTTTACAGTCATCTTTATTTCTGAACATCATTAGAATAGTTAAAGGGTATGAAGTGAGAGAGTTTCTCTTCTCTAGGTACTATCATATATATTTTCTTGATTAAAAATATATGATGAATTTAACACCATGTTTTTTTGGGAGAAAAAGTAAGACTGTATTAATGTATACTTTTTTAAACAAAATGAGCTTTTATCCATGTAATTTTATAGCACTTTCCTGTATCACAATCAAAGTGGGAATTTAAGCCTTCACTATCCGAATCTAAACTTAAATTCTTTGAAATGCCTCTGGGCTGTAACTATGTCCATTTTTGTTGACATAGTAACTTCTGTAATCCATACTCTTGAATATGACTTCTACATTTCTTTAGAACTGATATTTTGATTTCATTCACACTTCCTAACTTCATAGTTTGTATTTGCCTTATTTGACTTACATATTGCTAGACACAAAGAAATTTCTCCCAAAAGTCAGTTGGAAGTTTCTGACAGATGTTTGGAATGTGATAGCTCCTCTCACTATAGGATTTGTCACATCACTCTCTTTGAAAGTTCTGTGACATATTCTGAGGTATTTGGCAAGGTTTCTACATGTGTCTGCAATGATAATTATATCAAAACACTCATTCTGATAGATCACTTTTTCAGAAAAATGGAGAAAAAGCTGTCTTAAAATTGGGCACATAAAATGCTTTTGGGAACACCCTTCTAGTTGCTTTCTTGTTCTAATGGGTGTTGCAGGGTTGGTGAAGGTGTTGACATGGTTATTATTGCTTTGGGCCAACATTTCTTACCCATAGCCTGTCCATGGTCATCATTATATTTTTAAGTGTTAAGTATTTTTCTGTACTTGAATAGAAATTTTTCTTTTTTCTTTTTTATGGATCTATTATGTAAAAGTGCAAAGAACTATTGAAATATAAAGAAAGAGTAGTTGCTCATGCCTTCATGTTGAAACACTTAGCAGGCAGGCAATGACTTATGGCAGAATGTTAAAGCATAGAGTTATACAATCCGGAATTGTAGCTATACTTGCCTGTTTTACCCTCCTCATGTATAACTCCAGTTTTGAGAAATAAAAATAATTCATGGGATCATCTATGCCAGTACCATTTAAAATCTCTTCTAGATTGTATAATATGCATTATACCCCATTGCATTGGAAAACTTTGAATTTTTTCTTTAAAATAACATTTTATATCTATGTTTCTACTACTTCTTAAGTAGACCACAGTATTATCTTCTCAGGATTTCAGCATTCACATACTATAGTCTTCTAATTAAATATTGAATGCTGGTTTCTTTTTCTGTATTGTTTTAAAACCAAACCAAATCTTTAAAGTTATTTACATAAATTTAAAAGTACTGTTGGGTCATATATTTTGTTTCATAGTGTTTAATATTGCTATTGTTTTTGCTCTTTTTTTTTAGGTTTTTTTTTTTTTTACAAATAGTTTATTGTCAAATTAGGTTCCACATAACACTCAGTGCTCATCCCCACAAGTGCCCTCCTCCATGCCCATCCCCCCTCCCCCCCACATCCATCAGTGCTCAGTTTTTGTCAGCATTCAAGAGTCTCTCATGGTTTGCCTCTCTCCCTTTCCCCCACCATCTCCGCCCTTCTTCTCCCCCTTGTTCCTCCGTCAAGTTCCTCCTAATCCTCCTATACGTTGTTTTTGCTCATTTTTAAGACTAAACATGGATAAATATATTTGGCTAATAATGCATAACAGTATTCAAGTATTCCTGTATTCATTTTATATTTGATTTTATGCTTAAACACAAGATAGAGTTTTCTTTAACATTCAGAAACAGTTTGTACAAGGAAAAATGAATATTTCCAAGCCCTTGGCACAGTATAGTGGATGAATGATTGTTGAATGAATAAAGTGGTTTTAGAATACTAGATTTAAAAAGGTTGTCTGAAGCAAGACATATTTCTTATTATTGTATGCAAGAATGCTACATTTTGTCAAGTTCTCACCTAATATAAAATAACAATGATTCAGAGAGTGGTGGTTGGATTTAAGTTAATAATGATCCTCTTTATTTTTCTTCTTTGTGTTTTTGTTCATTTTAGTTTTGCTTTGAACAAATCTGCCTATATTTCTTCTGTATTTCTGTTTTCTGGTGTTTTCCATTAAGTAGATATTTCTAATGAGAAACAATATTTTTGATGAGAAAAACTAGCAAAGTGGAGCTTTTAAAGAATAGTTTCATATAGAATAAAATGGAAAAAAGCTGACTTTTAAAAACTCACGTGCTATGTTTTTATTTGGATTGTTTTTAGGTTGGCTGCCTCGCTATTCATGTAAAGAACTGCAGACATTTCACACCTAAGAGTATCCTTTCTTTTAAGAATCATAGTATGATCATGCATCTGTTTCAGTTAAATATTGCTGCATTACAAAACACTCCAAGACTTAGTGGCTTAAAACATTAACCATTTTATTATCAATCAGTATGTGCATTCACTAGGTGGCACTTCTGTTTCACATGATCACAGCAGACGCTGCAGTCATCTGATGGTTCAGAAGGGTTGGGATATCTAAAATGGCTCATTTACATGTTTGGTGCTTTAGTGAAGATGCCTGGAAGACTGAACTTAGCTGGAAAGCCGAAATGGTTAGACCTTTCTCTCTTACCATTGAGTCTCAAGGTCTTGTCTTTCCATCATGTTTTTTTTCCTGCATTAATTTTGATTAAAAAAATATTACCTTAATATATTATTTTGATTACTGAAGTTTTTGGTGTCCCTTTAAATTTTGGACCCTGGCTGATGCCTCTCTAACCCCTGCCGTAGACCCAGCCCCACTCATGTCCACTGCACGTTAAAGTAGTCACAGGGCAAGATTGAAGAGTAGGGGAAATTAACTGCACTTTTTGATGTGCAAAGTGACAAAAGTTTTTCAGCCATCTGTAATACACCTCCTCAATCACCATATAAGTTAAAGGCAAACTATATATATTAGATGATAATACTAATTATTTCTAAGGAATAACTGTGCTGTTTAAACATTGTCTAAAGGATTTAATTTATCTTGGTGCCTTTAAATAAATGGATTGCTTATTATTAGATTCATCATGGGATAAAACCAGTCTCAATATGAAGAGTTGGTGTTTGTCTTTTATATAAAGTGAATTATTGAAGAGAACTCTATATAGAGATTTTTAATATAATCACAACAAAACTGTTCTAATGCATGGAGTGCTATGAAAAATAACAATATTGTATAGCTTTACTAAGTATATAGTGAAAATGAGAGAATAGGAAACTGCTTTAAATTTTGTTGTTTTAATGTTAAAAATAAATTACTCTCAAGTAACTTTTTCTGAATTTGAATTTCTACATAATTATGCTTAGAGAAGTTTTTAACTATATATTACAAATATTTTTAATCACCTTAAAGATAATGTATAGAAACTTTTACAAAAGATTATAATGGAAATGTGAGGATATATATATACATATATATGCCTAGTGTATTAGGAATATTAGAAAATATTAGATGTGACTAAAGAATAAGCAGTCTTTCTACTTATATTGTGCCTGCTATTGATGGGCAGAAATACTATTTTTAAAGACTTTTAAATTATTTAATATGCTCTACAATTACCTTTTTATTTAGTTGATTAATTCTTAGGTTTTACCTGAATTGTTTAATGGATTAATTATATAATGTGTTCTTGTACAGTTATAACAAAATTTGCTTCCTAAATATCTGTGTATTTTCAGTTGGCTTACAATATTACAGTAATTTGTTCATTCGCATCTCTATAAACAACATTGTAAAATGTACAAAAATGTGTAGCTTGCTACCCCAAAGCGATGAGAAGAACGCTATAATTAAGTTTGATGACATAAAGTATTTTTCCATACAGGTAATGTTAAAGTTCTCTTCTAGATATAAGATTGCTTTTTTAAAGTTTCAAATAATTTACACTATGTCTTTTTTTTTTTTTTTAGAGGAAGGGAAAGAAACAAATGCAGTGTCTTTTTATTGGATATTTTATAGTATTCTGTTTCTTAAAAAAATTTTTTTAATGTTTATTTTGCTTTTTGAGAGAGAGAGAGGGAGGGAGGGAGAGAGGAAGGGAGCAGCAGGAGCAGGGGAGGGGCAGAGAGAGACGGAAACAGAATTCAAAGTAGGCTCCACCTCTGAGCTGTCAGCACAGAGCCCAACATGGGGCTCGAACTCAAGAGCAGTGAAATCATGACCTGAGCCAAAATAAGAGGCTTGACTGACTGAGCCACGCAGGCGCCCCACAGTATTTTATTTCTATACCATGGACTATATAGGTGTTTTTTAAATAAACAACTTGCTAGAAAATTCATAATCTTGAGGCCTTCTTCCTTAAGATCTTATCTGGCTGTGGTTCTGAGTGTTTATCACACATTCATATTTCTCTGTCTTGCTCTTCTCTTTGCAACTACCCTCTTCTACCCGGTCTTAGCTTGGGCTGCAATAACAAATGACCATAATAGGGCGGATCAACAGTCATTCAGGGGTGCCTGGGTGGCTTAGTCGGTTGAGTGGCCATCCAACTTCGGCTCAGGTCATGATCTCACGATTTGTGGGTTTGTGCCCTGTGTCGGGCTCTGTTGCTGACAGCCAGCTCAGAGCCTGGAGCCTGCTTCAGATTCTGTGTCCCTCTCTCTGACCCTCCCCTGCTCACGCTCTCACTCTCTCTCTCTCTCTCTCTCTCTCCCTCTCAGAAATAAATAAAACATTTAAAAAAATAAAAAAAAAGAATTTTGTGGATGTATGTCCACTTAAAACTTGAAATTAGCACTGGAAAAGTAATAGAAGTTAATAGGGTGGTATCTTTATAAGCATAATCATAATCTTTCTCTTTATTTTAAATCTTTTTTAGTGTTTATTTTTGAGAGAGAGAAAGAGAGTGCAAGCAGGGGAGGGGCAGAGAAGGAGGGAGATGCAGAATTCAAAGCAAGCTACAGGCTCTGAGCTGTCAGCGCAGAGCCAGAAATGGGGCTCGAACCCACTAACTGTGAGATCGTAAGCTGAGCTGAAATTGGATGCTTAACTGACTGAACCATCCAGGTGTCTGGAAAACCTTTTTCTTTATTTTAATAGGAGCTGTTAGTTTGAGCATATTAAGAGAAGAATTTTTTTTTATAGTTTATTGTCAAGTTGGTTTCCATATAACACCCAGTGCTCATCCCCACAACTGCCCCCCTCCATGCCCATCACCCCTTTCCCTTCTCCCCCACCCCCATCAGCCCTCAATTTGTTCTCAGCATTCAAGAGTCTCTCATGGTTTGTCTCCCTCCCTCTCCCCCACTAATTCCTCCCTTCTTCTCCCCCATGGTCTTCCATTAAGTTTCTCCTAATCCACCTATATGTGCAAACACATGGTATCTGTCCTTCTCTGCCTGACTTATTTCGCTCAGCATAACACCCTCAAGGTCCATCCACGTTGCTACACATGGCCAGATTTCATTCTTTCTCATTGTCATGTAGTATTCCATGGTATAGATAAACCACATCTTCTTGATCCATTCATCCGCTGATGGACACTTAGGCCCTTTCCATGTTTTGGCTGTTGTTGAGAGTGCTGCTATGAACATTGGGGTCCGTGTGCCCCTATGTATCAGCACTCCTATATCCCTTGGGTAAATTCCTAGCAGTGCTATTGCTGAGTCCTAGGGGAGTTCTATTGTTAATTTTTTGAGGAACCTCCACACTGTTTTCCAGAGGGGCTGCACCAGTTTACATTCCCACCAACAGTGTAGGAGGGTGCACGTTTCTCCACATCCTCACCAGCATCGAGAGTCCTCTGATTTGCTCATTTTAGCCTCTGATAGGCGTGAAGTGGTATCTCAGTGTGGTTTTGATTTGTATTTCCCTGATGAGGAGGGATGCTGAGCATCGTTTCATGGGTCTGTTGGCCAAATGGATGTCCTCTTTGGAGAAGTGTCTGTTCATATCTTCTGCCCATTTCTTCACTGGATTGTTTTTCGGGTGTAGAGTTTGGTGAGTTCCTTGTAGATTTTGGATACTAGGCCTTGATCCTATATGTCCTTTGAAACTATCTTTTCCCATTCTGTTGGTTGCCTATTAGTTTTATGGATTGTTTCCTTTGCCTTGCAGAAGCTTTTTATCTTGATGAGGTCCCAATAGTTCATTTTTGCTCGTGATTCCCTTGCCTTTGGGGATGTGTCAAGTAAGAAATTGCTGCGGTTGAGGTCAAGGAGGTTCTTTCCTGCTTTCTCCGCTAGGGTATTGATAGTATCCTGTCTCACATTCAGGTCCTTTATCCATTTTGAGTTTATCTGTGTGTATGGTGTGAGAAAATGATCTAGTTTCATTCGTCTGCATGTTGCTGTCCAGTTCTCCCAGCACCGTCTATTAAAGAGGCTGTCTTTTTTTCCATTGTATACTTTTTCCCGCTTTGTCAAGGATTAGTTGGCTGTACATTTGTGGGTCCAATTCTGAGTTCTCTGTTCGATTCCATTGGTCTATGTGTCTGTTTTTGTGCCAATACCATACTGTCTTGATGATGACAGCTTTGTAGTAGAGACTCAGGTCTGGGATGGTGATGCCTCCCGTTTTGGTTTTCTTCTTCAATATTACTTTGGCTATTCGGGGTCTTTTGTGGTTCCATACAAATTTTAGGATAGTACGTTCTAGCTTTGAGAAGAAGGCTGGTGCAATTTTGATTGGAAATGCATTGAATGTGTAGAATGATTTGGGTAGTAATGACATATTAACTATATTTATTCTTCCAATCCATGAGCATGGAATGTTTTTCCATTTCTTTGTGTCTTCTTCAATTTCCTTCATAAGTTTTCTATAGTTTTCTTCATACAGATCTCCTAAATCTTTGGTTAGGTTTATTCCTATGTATTTCATTTTATTTTATTTTTTTGTGCAATTGTTAATGGGATCAGTTTCTTGATTTCTAAGAGAAGAATTTTAGTGGAATTCTAATAGAAAGTTTGTGAATGACTTAGTAGTAACTATGTAAAAAACTGCACAAGGGAAGGAATATAAAAAAGCAAAACACATATTAACTCTAGGAAAATTAAGAAGTGATAGAGAAAAGGAAATATAATCATTGTAATTATTTTGTTAAACTCTGATAAATAGTTACATATACACAATAATGTAAACACTAAGTATTGGTCTAGCAAAATGTATGATATGATATATTGGAGGAATGAAGGGAAAAGAAATGTAAAAACTGTGAGGGAGGGTGTTGAGCTAATATTTTTTTCTACAATAAGCAATTAATTGATAGTATTTAAAAATTTAAAAATCACTTAATACTATAAGCATGTTACTTTGAAATATGATCTCATGGCAAAAACCAGAGAAATCCCTTTAAAGTTGGCTTTTGAGGAGTGGAAATTGGGGGGTGGATAGGGTAGTACTCTAAAATTGTACCCAGGATTTACTTTATAGAGGTATAACTGCATGACAGCATGGAGAGACTAATGCCTTTAAAAGAAGGGGACAAAGGGACACATCACACTACATAGGGCCACGGGGGAAGTATCAGGATAGTCAGGAAACAGAAGACAGAAGTGACAGAGACAGCCTAAGCTAACACCTTCATTGGGGTTTACTTGAGAAAGCAATGCAGGACAGGGTCAAGAGTTTAGGATTGGTTAGCATGAATAATTCCTGTAGGCTTTAGGCTATAGGGGTAGTCTTTAGTTGCTTGGTACCTGGCCCTGGGATGATTTAGGGCAGGGGAAATATTGGCTCCATGTGATAGTTAGATAAGGAAGTAGTTGGGGCTATAATTTTGGGATTGGTTTGCATATGAAAGATGTGCTTCCATCTAGCTATCCCCCTTTCTATCTCTAGGAATTGGCTAGCCCAGGGAGAGAATGTCTGTCTCTGGCCAACAAGCTTTTTAAGATGTCAGAACATTATAAAATACAGAAGAAAAAGATCAAACATGGGAGAAATAAAGTTATTTGTTTTAACCATTGTAGAACTATTTAAGTTTTAAATTATGTATCATATAACTGGGATAAAATAAAATTATACATATTCTACTTTAGAACTTTAATTTGCTAAAGCTTACCAAATAGATCTAGGTTAAAAGTAGAACAAAAGCAAATTAAAAAAAAGAATAGTAAGTGGCTTTAATCTACTTTTATTGTTCTAGAAAGCTATTGAATAAGTGATGTTAAAACTCATGTTGAAGAATAAATAGTAGTGGACCTCTGACCTGGCCATGCTGGAGTTACTGATATCAGATGTACTCTTCTGCTCTAAACAACTATAAAATTGAGTAAAATATATGAAGGAACTATTTTCTGATATTTAACAAGGGAAATTGGAGGGCTTTAATGTTTAAGAGGAGGGAAACAGAAGAAGTGAGTTCCACATTTGCAACAGCTTTTTGTCTGGCAGTGAATCTGTCATAAAGAAGTGAAGCCAAGGGGTACTTGAGTGACTTAATAGGTTAAGTGGCCGACTTCAGCTCAAGTCATGACCTCATGGCTTGTGAGTTTGAGCCCTGCATCGGCCTCTGTGCTCATAGCTCAGTGCCTGGAGCCTGCCTTGGACTCCGTGTCTCCCCCTCCCTCTGCCCTTCCCTTGCTCATGTGCTCACCCTTTCTCTCCTTCAAAAATTAAAAAAAAAAAAAAAAAAAAAAAAGAAGTGAAACCAGAGAGTGAGTGACATTGCTTGGTGGAGGAAGCAGATGAGAGTTTGGGGCTGCTGAGGTAGCTAGAATTTGTAAGGTGGGGTACTGGAGAGGATGGAGGGCAGACAGGGAGCCCCAGAAATCTGTATCATTATTCCATTCAGGTTCTTGGTTGGATCCTATGGTGTGCATATGCAAAGGGAGTTTCTAGGAGGAATTACAGAGAATAGATGTGGAGAGCTAAATGCTGAATAGAGATTTCAGAAGTCACAAATTCAGTCATTGGAGTTTTATGCAGCTAAAGTGGAGAGATTTTGTTGAACATTACCAGTATTCATCAGAGATCCCAGAAAGTCCAAGTCTTAGGAGTAAGGATCTTGTCTTAAAAGTAAGGGTTAAAACCCTGGTACCATGGACAAAGGCTGAAATAGATCCATCCTCAAACCAAGCTGTCATAGAATCAAGATGATCTGCCAGCAATTAACGGCCTTCCAGGAAAAAAAAAAAACCCTCAAAACTTAGTAAAGGAAGACATAAAAACCCAGAGTCTCTACTGTATATCCACTATACAGTAAAAAGATGTTGCTCATGAGGAAATAAAACCAACAATAGAGGTAAGCTCACAGATGACCTAAATGTTTGAATTAGGAGATAAGAACTTTACAGCAACTATCATAAATGTGTTAGAGTGGAAAAGGAGGACCAAGTGGATGATCAGAATGGGAATTTTGAAGAAAATGGAAAATCGAAAAAGAACCAAAAAGAATTCTAGATCTGAAAAATACAATATTGAAATGAATTCATTTGAAAGATTCTAGACACAGCAGAAGAAAGGATCTGTGAATTGAAAGATAAGTCCATAGAAATCATTCAAATTGCAGTTCAGAGAGAAAAAAGACTGAAAAAAAAAAAAAAAGACCAGTGGGCCTTATCACCCAATTTACAGACGTTCAATTACATCACAGAAGAAAAGAAGAGGAAGTATTTATTAGAGTATTTAGTATTTTAGATTTTTCTCAGCTAAACATTTTCTAGAAGTAATGAAAGACATCAATCAGTAGATTGAAGAAACTCAAGCCCATGAAAAATAAGTACAGGGGGCGTCTGGGTGGCTCAGTTGGTTAAATGTCTGACTTCGGCTCAGGTCATGATCTCATGGTTCGTGGGTTCAAGCCCCACATCAGGCTTTATGCTGACAGCTAGCTCAGAGCCTGGAGCTTGCTTCAGATTCTGTATCTTCCTCTCTCTCTGACCCTCCCCTGCTCATGATGTCTCTCTCTCTCTCTCAAAAATAAATAAAACATTAAAAAACAAAAGTACAAAATTATCATACCTACATACATCATAATCAAACCGCCAAAAACCAAAAATAAAAAGAAAATCTTAAAGTAGCCAGAGGGGAAAAACATAGCATGTTTAGATGAACAACCATAAGAATAACAACAAACTTCTCATCAGAAACAATGGAGTTCAGGAGGTAAAGGAATGCCATCTTTCTAGTGCTTAAAAATAAAAAGTCAACCTCAGTTTCTAAACCCAGTGGAAATATTCTTTAAAAAGATGGTGAAAGACAAAAGCTAACAGAATGCATGTCTAAAAGACCTGAATTATAATAAACCTCAAAGGAAGCTTCAAGTTGGAGAGAAATAATCCCAGATAGAGGCCCAGATGCATAGGAAGGAATGAAGAGCACTGGTAAAGGTGAATATACAGGTAAAAATAAAAGACTATTAAAAAGGAAAAGACTTTTTAAAGTATTCTCCAAATTTTGAATTTTTATGTAAGGACTAAACTAAATACATTTTTGGTTCTTCAGAATTCCATCAGTAAACAAATTTGCATATATCATAATGTAATATGTATTGAATACCTCTATAAACCATTGAATAGAGGTGCCTGGTTGAGTCAGTTGGTTAAGCATCCACCATGATTTTGGCTTAGGTCATGATCTCACAGTTTTTGAAATTGAGCCCCTCATTGGGTTCTGCATTGGCAGTGCAGAGCCTGCTTGGGATTCTCTCTCTCCCCCCTCTCTCTCTCCATCTCCCCCATTTGCTTTCTCTTCCCCTCAAAATAAAATAAACATTTTTAAAAAATGAGAACTGCTAGCAAATAATTAAAATTTTCTACCAAGACATAGTCACGTGATTTCACGGTAAATTACCTATGAATGTTGTATATTCATTTTGTTCCTGAATTAAAATATCTCATCATTTCCAAGTTCTTAAGATCTTGATATTCTCTTTCTCAGAGAAGACTTTGTTGACTGCCGCTCTACAGTAGGTCCTATAGTGATGCACTATTACAGATAATGATGATCACAGTGTATTCTTTCCATTTACGTATTGACCTCCTTTTTCAGTAGCCAGGAGGCTCCCGAAGGTCAAGGGCTTTACCTTACTATGCTCTGTTAAATCTCTGGTGCCCAGAATTCATTAACATTTAATAAATACTTATTGAATTAAAAGGTTTTTTTCCAGAAAGCCAATAATTTAATAAAGGAAATTTATAATTAAAAAATCATTCTCTGAAAGACTATTAATTGCTTAAAACAAAATAATGATGATGAGTGGTAAAATTTGTAGCATTTGTGGAAGTAGAATGTATGAGAAGAATAGCACAGAGTGCTATTGGTGCTATTCTTATATATATATAAGGGAATATAAATTCCCTTTCCACTGTTGGCAGGAATATAAATTGGTGTAGCCACTGTGGAAAACAATATGGAGGTTCCTCAAAAATTAAAACTAGAACTATGATCCAGCAATGCCACTTTTGTGTATATAGCCAAAGAAGACAAAATCACTATCTCAAAAAGATTCTGGACTCCATTTCATTGCAGCATTATTTATAATAATCAAGACATGGAAACAATCAAAGTGTCCAATGAACAATGGCTTAAAATTTTTGATACACACACGCAGGAATATTATCCATCCATAAAAGGAGATCCTACCAGTTGTGACAATATGGATGGACCTAGAGGGCATTATGCTAAGTGAAATGAGTCAGACAAAGACAAATACTGTATATTTCACTTAAATGTAGAATCTAAAAAGCTCAAAAAAAAACCCACAATTCATAGTCACAGAGAACAGATTGTTGGTTGCCAGAGGTGAGGTTTGGGGAATAGGAAAAATGAGTCAAGGTGGTCAGAAGGTACAAACTTCCAGTTACAAATAAGTCCTGGGATGTAATGTACAGCATGGTGATTATAGTTAGTAATACTGTATTGTGTATTTGAAAGTGGCTAAGAGGGTAGATCTTACAAATTCTCTCATCACAAGAAAAATAAACTGAGTGGTGATGAGCATTAACTAAATTTACTGTGATAATCATTTTGCAATATATACAAATATCATTATGCTGTACACCTAAAAGTAGTGCAATATTATATGCCAATTATATTTTTAAACAAATATTTTTAAAAAGTCCCTAGACTGGAGAAACATTAGATTTTTTCTAATTGGCAAAAGAGTGTGTGAATTTTAAAGGTCACATGATAGTGGTATTGTGTTACAGAGCTCAAGGTTGGGAGAGAGTTCCAAGTTGAGACAGTGGTATTCATCTTATCAATAAGTTAAGGAACAAAGACTGAAAAGGATGTTGGATGTCTTTTGATATTGGGCTTTTGGATTACCTAGATTTGCTGGATTGGATATTGGATTACCTTTTATAAGATCGTTTCAGTAGAATGTTGAGGCTAAAATTTTGTGTAGAGTTAAAAACAATGTAGGCAGTGCATACTTCAAAAGACTGTAATTTATGTTACCACATAAGAGCCTGATTTTTGTTGACATTAAGGCATATGTGACTATGAGATTGAAAAGTTATAAAGCTAACAATATATGTAAACTTATCATTAGGTTGTATATAACCTAATGATACACAAAAGTATAGTTTATGGATGTGTTTATTCAGGAATTATATCTGAAATTCAAACTGAAAATATAATAATTCTTTTCATATATATTTTGTATCAAGATTCCCAGGCGTCAAGATGATGAGCGGAATAATATTTACTTGGAACTAATGAAATATGACAATACAGAAAAATATCCTCTCTTGTTAGGGAGTGTTAAGGTACATCTTTATGAAGTAATTCAGGTATGTATCAAAGTTATTTTTTCATCTTGGTATCACATTGTCCAGTTGGTGTTTGTTGTTATTATTTATCTGTATCTGATGGACTCTTTGTGGTTTATTATCTACCTTCAAACTCGTGCTTAGGAAACAGTATCTCTCTGGGGTTGTATTTAAAAAAAAAATGGTTGGTTTGTAACAGCATAATGTTTTAAAAAATGTATTATGTGGAAGGGCAATGATACAGCCCAAAAGACTGATAAGCATATTTTATTATGTTGTCTGGAATGTTTTTAAGCAAGACTCAAACCACAAACTCTCTTAGTTGACAGTGCAAATTTCAGTTCTCCTTAGCTGGGCTGTTTGCAGTCTGCCCTGTGCATGTGTTGTTTAGGGGTCCACCAGAGTTTGAGGCAGGGTTTATACACGGATTTTCTGGTTTCTTCTCTCTTGCTTTCTCCTTTCTAGGAGTACCCTCACACTTTCCAGTAGCCATACTGCCCTGAACGCAAAGGAAGAGAACTGATTAGTGAACAAAATATGAACAATCTTAAGGATTTTTAGAAATATTTGTTAGGATGCAAAGCAAGGAATCCTAAAACGAGTAATGGAGTTACATTAAAAGACACAGGAGCCAGATTGCAGGGGCTCCTGTTGGCCTATTTCAAGATAATTTGAACAACAAAAAGGCCATTACAAGTTCTGAATAAAGAAAAATCCATAAATCTTGGTGATCTAAAAAAAAAAAAAAACAATAGAGGAAGAAGAATGGAATTTTAAAAGTTTCATACAGAAGAATGCCAGTTAATAGTGTAGAAAGAATAGAATTACAGATTGACTGTTTTTGCAGTTCTTTTTTTTTTAATGTTTGTTTTTGGGGGAGAGAGAAGGAGGGAAGGAGGAGAGAGAGAGAGAGAGGGAGACACAGAATATGATGCAGGTTCCAGGCTCTGAGCTGTCAGCACAGACCCCGACACAGGGCCCAAACTCAGGAACTGCAAGATGATGATCTGAGCCAAAGTCAGACGCTTGGCCTATTGAGCCACCCAGGTGCTCCTTGAAGTTCTTTATAAAGAATGAATGGTTAGTTCAGTCAAGACTTAGGAATGCTACTAAAAACATTAGGTAAAGTGTTATTGGAGAATAAAATAGTTCCACGATGCCACCGTTAACAGCCCACAGATTAATTGTTGCAAAGGGAAAAAGGTGCCTCTACAATAGAGCGATGTTGTGGTTACCATTTTAACCAAGAGCTTGAATTTAGCACAAGTAATTGTGGACAGTTTAACATCATATGCTTCCTATGGTGTTACAATATGAAGTATATAGCATTACCTATGAATTATTCTCATAAAAAATGTTTAATGCAAATCTAACAAATCTAGATCTAACTTTTAGTTGATAGAAATTAGGAGATAGGGAAAAAATTAATGCTATGTTGATATAAGAGAAATACAAAATGTAGGACATACCAGCTTAGATTCTTTAAAAAGTTAAGGTTGTTTAAAAAAAAAGAAAGGTGGAGAGAACTGTTCTAGATTAAAAGACATACAGCTTTGATTGAATACAGGTTTGAAAAGGATAACTTATAAAAAGACCTTCTTGGGGCAATTAGGAAAATTTGAATTTATATTGAGTTTTAGACAAAATTCTAAAATAACTTAATTTTCTGAAATGTGATGGTGATAATGTACTTATATAGAAGAATGTCCTTATTTATAGAGTACAGAAGGTGAGGCTTTCACATTTTGCTATGAAGTGACATGATGGCTGTAACTTAGAAATGTGTGTGAACACAGATAAAGCAAGCATGGCAAATGTTAAAACAGTTTTACCAGTTGTTAAACAAATGTTTGAACTTGTTTAATCTAGGTGTAGGGTATATCGATACTTATTGCTGTAGTCTTTCAGATGATCTACATGTTTCAAAAGTTTCATAATGAGAATTTGGGGGAAATCAGCTCTTTGAGCATATTAGCAGGAGATGAACATACTGACTAATGAATAAGAGTAAGTAGTTGAAGATTCTCAGGAAACTAGGGGACAAGGATCTTGGAAATGACTAAAGTTTCCTCTACTATATAGCAATTTAGGCATCAGAAAAATATATATTATTAGTCACATTTTGTTGAAGGGAGTAGGACATTTGGACTATAGTCATATGTGTAAACTTCGTAGTGTTTATTATTATGATGGTAAATTTTTTAAAATGAGAAACATCACCCACCATCCTACAATTGTAATATAGCATTTCATTTCTCAGAATTTCATTCCAAATCTTTTTAATAAACATAAGCAGAAAAATAGAAAATATAAAAAGAGCCAAATGCAAATTATAGGAATGAAAAATACAATATCTAAAATCAAAAATTCATTTGATGGACTTAGCAGAATAGAGATGCCAAAGGAAAGACTATTGTTTTTCCTCTTAATTTCTTTAAAATATATGACCATTTAAAACAAAAATACAACCTTCATACCACTTTGGGGAAAATACACAAATATTGCAATTTTATAGGTTCTATAACCTTGTCTTGTAGAGTTTATAATGTTTGTAAATGTAATACATCTAACAACTAGAGCATAAGGGTAGAAAAGGGGTGAGCTTTAAAGGACATATAAAATTACAGGATTTGTGTATTTTCCCCAAAGTGGTATAAAGTAAATGTAATCCAGTTGAAGTACCTATGCTGTCACCTGCTTCTGTTTTCTGCCCTTCCCCCCAAGAAAATATAATGATTATCTTAAACTTGTATTTATTCCCTTGTTCTTTTCATAGTTTTACTACTTATATATAGTTGCAAACTAGTATCATTTGTTTTTAAAATATTATGCTTCTAAGATTAATACAGGTAATTTCATTTGCTGGCAGTCATTCTCTCACTGCTGTATACTGTTCCATGTGGAATATTCCTCATTTGTCTATAGATTTGTTGATGGACATTTGGATTGTCTTCAGTTTTTACTATTCCCAATGCTGCAATGAATTTTCTTGAACATATCTTTAAATGCTTATCTGCAAAAAGTCTCTACATGATGATGAATTGCCCTCTATGAGTCTCTTTGATGTATTGCTACATCATATGGCAAAGAGACCATTATTATTTAATGGACACAGTTATCAGGGGAAGCAGTTTTGGATTTCCTCAAAGAGTTTTATGATTTTAGCTGTGGTGTGTTCCAGATATTCTGTTTCTGTTTCTATGTACTATCTGACAGTATCCTTCTATAGACACTTCTACCTTAATTAAGAATTGTGTCATTTTCCTTATTAGAATTTCTCAGTTACCCATTTTTGTTCAAAACTCAGATCCCAGAAATACAAAGCTGACCATAAGGACTTTGGTGGTTTTTGTTTTTAGTTTTTGTTTTGATACAATTTTATTAGCTGGATATTACCTTGGAATGATGACTGTATAATAATATCTAAATATCTGCATATCAGACAATAGAGGAAAACAAGAACTACGAGACAATCACAAATATAATAATAAATTTTTTGAATCCACTTTGTATCCAGCCCTTAAGTAGGTCTATTGGGAGAGTAAGTCCCACAGATGAATTTGGCCCACCTTAAATGGACATGTAGCTTTAAAAACAAAACAAGGAGAGAGGGCAAGATGGCGGAGAAGTAAGGAGCTCCGTACTTGCACTCGCGCCCATACATCACACAGAAAAGATCCGAAGACATTGGAAACCTTACAAAACCTGAGAGATTGGGAGAAAAAAGACGCAGAATCCACTGAGAGAGCCTTCTAAC